TAGCCATACACAGCCCGCTGGTTCAACAACTTAGCGACCAACAATCCACCCAGAGGATAGGCCGAAAATGAGCGAAAAGGCCAACTGGTGATGGAAGTGCGATTCTTTGTTTCTTTTTCCATCACACGTTTATGGCAATCTAAGTTTGTAGTTGCTCCATCAAGTGTCAGTTTTATGTCAAGATTGTATAAAAGGAAATAAACAAGTGTGAGTGGCACAAAATTGATGTCGATGGCATTTTCATGAACAGCAGGCTATTTCGGACAGGAAACTGGCAATTTTACCTCTTTATATACCAACTTTAAGGCCTATAGCAATACCTGGGGCCGGGGAGCACCCTGTCAATTGTATTTACACCCGTCGCAATCCAATATGGCTAGCTGGAAAATCCCCTATTTGGTTTGAGGAATTTCCCTTTGATAAAAGTGCCTGAAATGAAGCAATTTCCCAGCTATCCATGTTGTTTGAGCCTACGGGTTGAAAACCGAACCAGCGTTTTGCATGTTTCTATGTCTTTCATGGGGTTAACGGGGTGGGGTGGGGTGGGGTGGGGTGGGGTGGGTAATAACGTTCAATTGCACTGCCTGACATACATGATGCTACGCTGCTGTACGTCTTATTGCACTTCCTCACATGCATGATGCTACGCTGCTGTACGTCTTCTTGCATGTCCTCACATACATGATGCTACGCTGCTGTACATCGTCTTGCACTTCCTCACATATATGATGCTACGCTAGTGTACGTCGTCTTGCACTTCCTCACATACATGATGCAACGCTACTGTATGTCGTCTTGCACTTCCTCACATACATGATGCAACGCTACTGTATGTCGTCTTGCACTTCCTCACATATAATATGATGCTACGTTAGTCTACGTTAGTCTTGCTCAATGGCAAGATTTGGATGCATGTTCGCGCTTGGCAGTTGAGATGGGAAAACAGTTCCCACAAAAACCTCTCCAAGCTCACTGCAGAAATTGTGAAGCTTAGCGCAGAAAAAAAGAGAGTGCCGCTGAGGTTTTTTACATATCCAGTGAAAAGTACGCGCGTACTTTTTAAGGAAATTGAACTTTGAGAGAGATGCAAAACCACTGTGATTTGTGGTATGAAATCAATGACGAACACTGCAAACGTTGAAAACGCGGGTTCGATAAACAACCCGCCGGGTTGTTTGACGATGGAGGGAAAGCATGAATATAGACTCTCCACTTCCATCTCAGCATAGGTTCAAAGGGAAATACACAGGAACTCCCTATTCTAATGGGAATAAATATTATACCAGGCTGTATACCCTCTGAAATGCCTATCATATACCCATTTTAGATGGTTTTTCATTGGTTGAGTCACCATGCTTGGGGTATATGAACCTGTAAGAAATCCATGAAACAGTCCAGTCCTATCACCATTTTCTTGGGGATGAATGGGTGGAGTTTGGACCATCTGTCATGGTTTACGGCATTGGGATGCATTCGGTTTCCCAACCATTGTCAATCATGAGTAACCACATGAAAACTTATTGTTATTAACATTCATAAACTCCTTACCACTATGAACCATATAATTAGACATATATATAACTAATCATCCTTATATCACCATATTAAATTAACGTTCATTAAAATGGTCCATTAACAGATAGATAACAATAATATAGCAATTTTTAGATAACCATCATCAGCTAATCAGCTTTAACCATCATTAATATCCGATACTAGACAATTAACCATTAACCATGCACCATGATTAACCATTATTAACCATGATTAACCATGATTAACCATTATTAACCATGATTAACAATGATTAACCACTCTTAGAACCACGTTTTTGTTCGATATCTGCAACCAACCGAGCTGTTCCCCTGCGCCCTGCTGCGCCCTGTGCCCTGCGAGTCAGGACTTGGTGACTCCCAACGAAGAGTTGTGCGGAACGCACAGCGGAGGAACGCAGAAGGGTTTTGATCCATGGCCCTAGTGCGACCATGATAATATATATATATATATTACAGTTGCTTATTGATGTAATATTACACAAGAGTTGATTTATATATACAAACACATAAATAAATATATATATATAATATACATGTATAATACATGTATATAGTCTTATATATATATATTTAATGAGTTAATCTATACATGTAGCGTATATATATTGCGATGGTGAAACATGGCTTTATTGCGATGGTGAAACATGGCTTTATTGCGATGGTGAAACATGGCTTAAAATAGACCGGTGACCTCAGCTGACCTCATCAAAGATGCTTCGTAGCTATGACTAGGAGAAATAACATGACATTTGCATACACTTCTAGTTATAATATACATAGTCATTTTTATCTAGTGTAAATATATACTATGTATATTGTACGATAATAGTATACAAAATGACACAACCATATTTTGCTGTATATATATCTATATACACACACGCATTCTTGGGGTAATTAGTTACATGTCTTTACCCACAGCCATTTGTGCCATGATCAAAACATGGTTTGTTTTCCCGTAGAGGGTGATTATCAATCCATTACGGATTTTTATATAGCCATCATAAAGATTCCCATGTTGGGATGGCCCATCATCTCAGCATCTCCGATTACATGAATTGAGGGGAACCAGTAACCAGGATGTTGAACCATTAAAATAAGTTTTTTTAATCAAACATGGGCTGTTTGGGAAACCAAACAAATATATGATTTTACTGTGCGATTTTGGCTAAACAATTCCATGATTTCTTGTGGATCTTCCCTTAAATCAACTTGGGCAAAGCTTGGGTGGGTTAATGGCTGCCCTGTGCCAATCATAGATTTTGACCCATCCCCATGTGTATACTGTGTATTATAAGTATTATATATATACACTGTATATATAAATTACAATATGTATATATACAGACAGAAACATACAGCTGTGGATGTCGAAGATTTGCAATGCCAATCCACCAGCGGCCATTTCTATCCCCCTAGGTGGCACGGCCGTGCAGAAGGCGCGAATTTCCCCACAACGGAAAGAAAAGTAACATCCTGCTATCCATTAACCATCATTATCGGATTGATTAATAGTGATTATTTAAATTATTTATGCATTAATAGTGATTAACAATCATTAATGATGGATCATTATTTATGATTATTAACCATGATTATGATAGATTAATGGATGATTTATCACTAAAATAGATATATCACTATTAATCAATATTAATCAATATTAACAATAATATTGTTAATCACTATTAATCACTATTAATGGATTGATTATTACTAAAATAGATATGTTGTTTGTAAATGTTGCTTCTATATTCTGGAACTCACAATATGAATAAGGACTGCTCAATGTATGAATTATATCCGTATATATAGCATTACACTTCAAGAGATTGTTGTAGACGCAAGTATAGCTATACAGTGGACACTGAGTACACTGCAACACTAGGGTGGTCATTCAAGAACAGACGTCTTCGAGGCTTTCATTTTAACAAAAACCGCCGGAGGGATGGGAAACACACCTAAACAACCAGAACTTGCATGAAAGGAACACACCGCTTATGAGTTTAATATGGAACCCAGACATGGTTTATTCAACGGGAAGACATCTTCCAGATTCCAATTTTGAGAGTTCCATGTTAAATTTAGGGGGTGTACCCAATTTTACCTCTCGATGTGGGATTTTAAACAGTGAAGTTACAATTAGCAGTACCATCTGAAAGCTCAAGCAGCAAATTCAACACGCATCTTTGGCAGATCTTATTGGCATATCAAGATTGCCATCGCACTGCACCACTTGGAGGTTCTATGTTTTCTTTATGGATTTTTGTTCAGAAGGTATAGATACATCGATTTCTTTTGCATTTTCATAGAAACTCAGCATGTGCCTCAAATTGGATAATTTCACTAGCAACCACCTTGGATTACTTTCAATACAAGGTGAAAATCCTGCAAAGTAGGGCCTGCAACACAGGTTTCAGTAGCTTAATAGTTCCAACTAGGATTAGTTCCGGATATTGCTGGTATATCACATATATATATATTATACATACTACACATATTATATATCATTATACATATATATATATAGTTGAATGGCTCAACACCAATCAATGTATCTATCATGCGGGCCCTAAGCATTGTATCCCCACCTTGATGTTGCAGGCGAAGCATCGAGTGAGGCGATGGGATTGCAGGCAGATGGCATGATTCTGGCTGAATTCAATCGATGGTTACCATCCATTTATAGATCGGATTTTCATGGATTTTCCATGAAATCATCCAGCTATTGGGGGTACCCCCATGACTATGGAAACCCCCATATCGATCCATATGGTTCATCCTCTGGTAACCTAACATAGCGAACTGGAAAATCACCACTTTTAATGGGTAAATCAACGAACCTGACATGGCTCATTTTCCATAGCCGTGTCAGTTTACCAGAGGGTAGCGGTATCTCTCCCAAAGCGGTCTTAACTGAGGTAAGAGGGCCATCCAGCGCGGTAAGCTGCCCGCAAAAACAATGGTTTTCTGAGACCAAGAATCACAAAAACAAATACCTCATGTCCTGAAATTATGTGGTCCCGCAAATCAACCAGATCTGAGAGGGTTGATGTTTTAGATTCAATCTGCCAGGTGAAGTCAAGTAGAATGGCCATTTTCTCCATCTTCATCCATTAAAAGGATAAGGATCCGGGTCCAGATGCCAAGGAACAAGGGCTGACGTGCATGGATCTAGGTCTGGATTTAGGCTCCAATGACGGTACCGATTTCCCCGATTCACATGGCGTGTTTGGCGGCTTTCACCTTGCTAGTCTCCTTGGGCATCGCTCAAGAGACCAAATTGGATGCCGGGATCTGAGTCGTTGTGATTTTTCCCGGAGGTTCCCAATGGGGAATCCACCAAAATTTGGGGGAATCTATAGGGACTATATATGATTATATATGATTATATTGACTTTTTGTTGCTGATCAGCTGGATCCAAGGAGTGCGATGTCGATTCAATGTTGCAGGTGAGTTCCATCGAGCAAAAGGAAGCGGCTCGTGGCCAGCCGGGTGGCTCCTGGCAAAGTCCAGCAGACCCTTCGATTTGTTGACTTGGTGCATTTTCTGAAGCCCCCCCATTAAAAAGAAAAAACTCTGAAATCTGTCGGGAACATGTTTGGTACCCTTCAAAAAATGGAGTGAAACATAGGACAGGATGTCTGCACTGTGATTTGCCGTTTCTATCTGTTTGGGGCTGACACATTGACCTTTCAAAAGTGCCAAAAAAGCTGGCTCGTCCAAGGATATCGCCAGCTTACCTCGGCCAAAGACCATTTCTCTCATGGAGAAAGTGGAGCTTACCATCATCAGTGCAGTTCCGACTTTCGGACCCGTACCTGTGTCAATATGATTGGGGGTTTCCATAAATGGGGGTACCCCCCTAGCTGGATGGTCCATAATGGAAAATACAATTAAAATGGATTATTTGGGGGTACCCCCATTTTACGAAACCTCCATATGATTCGAACTTTGACCAAAGCCAGTGATTGAACCGTTGAAGATATCGAAGACTATATAGCCCATTTATAGATGGTTTTGCCGGTTTTGCCTTTACTTTCTGCGGATTTTCCAGAGTTATGTTCAATTACCAGAGGGTAAGTCTCGTTTTCCCTGAGAAAGTGAGAGAATGATCCCACTTAAGGCGCTAATCAGAATCCGATAGTCCCCTTTGGAAGCAATTTTCCATTGGTTCAAAAAGCTCCACCGGCCAGGATGGAAATTTTATTACGCTGATCCGGGAGCCGGTTTTGGTGTCCCAGGATCACACCGCATCCAATGCGTTAGAGGCCTATCTGCTGAAGAACAAAATTTATTGCACCGGACCTAAGAGATCCCATCGGGTTCTGTTGCGATGGTCACCGGCAAAAGTCAATCTCTTTTGTGATTGGCCTGCGGAAGAGGCGAAGGACGGAGCCTGCATGGAGATGATGATTAAACTGGAGATTATGATTAAACTGGAGGCAAAGTGGATGGGCACAATGATTTATATATTTTTTGTATCTATTGGCATTATTGTCTATGTGCAACTTTATGTTTTGCTAACTGATACCTCTATAGTTGGATTCAAGAAGTTTTTTCTGAGCCTTGAATCTTGAATCTTGAATCCTACCCCCTTGGATTCAAGAATTCTGTTTTGGAATCTTGAATCCTACCCCCTTGGATTCAAGAATTCTGTTTTGGAATCTTGAATCTTGAATCTTGAATCCTACCCCCTTAGATTTGGAGAAGAATGCATTCTGAATGCATACTTTGCAAAATCCAAGATCCAAGATCCAAGATTCCCACAAGACTTGCAAAAAAATGCAATTTTTGATCACCAGAAAATGCCTTGAATTGATTTAAATTGTAGAGTTCAGAATGTTAAGAAAAACACTGTAGATACCACTAAATTTGCTTGAAATGTAGGTCTTGGGGGGGTACCATAGATATATATATTATTATTATTATTATTTCATTCTTATTTTTACTATTATTTTTTGTTATTAGCATTATTATTACTATTATTATATATATATTATATTATGTTATATTATATTATATTATATTATATTATAATATATTATTAAATATTTTATTATATTATAATTTATTATTTTATATTATATTATATTATTAAAAAAGATGTATACACATCTATTGACGCTATTTCAACCCAACCAGCTGAAAGCATTCCATTTTTACCCGCAGGAGACAAAATTTGAGATCTTCTTAGAAGATGCGGCGGGGAAAGCTCTTGGGCAATTCAGTGCAAAGCATAAGCCTTTGGAGAAGAAGCTTCATGAAATAGCCATACAGATTCCTTGACGGTTCTTGCGCTTTTTGTTTGGGGGTTGTTGACAGGTCTTAATTCGCTTATCCAACTAAAATACACTATCATACACTACAATTCCTGCGGGTCAATGCACGATCTTTCGAGTTCTTGGGGTTGTTGATAGCTAAGTTGTGCACCACTTCTCCTACTAAAATCACGTGTTGCCTTGTCCACTTCAAGAAATATCAGGGGAGCAGATGAGGGCGACAGATCCAAGGAAGTTTGACACCGTGGCATGTGTGCGAGATATTTTTGTGGACACAAACCCACGACATCTTGGCGAAAGTTTCAGCGGCCCTTTCAAACAGTTGGTGGAGTGGTTGGAATTTAACCATATGCACGGCATCGACCACTTCTTCTTCTACACCTTTCATGGCACGGAGGACGCAGCCAAGGAGATCATGACACCCTATATGAATGATGGATTGGCCTCAAGGATTCACTTCGAACACTATCCCGGAGTTCCTAAGCGACGGTTTCGTTGTGTATCTCTTGAACAAAAGCATGCGTTCCCCCTTTTTTCTCCATCAACATCCAAGAACCATATTATCTGTTTGGATGATGATCCCGAGAAACGCTTTATATATAATAACAATAATAGGAATAATAATATCATGTTTTTGTGAAATATTTATGATGATTTATGTATATGTTCGTCCCGGCTGGCTCGAGAGCCAAAAAGGTGAATGTGGTGCGGCAGCACTATGTCATCCGAGATTGTTTGTACAGGGCAAAGAATCATGCGAATTGGTTGCTTCCTACCATCGACGCTTGGATTTCCGATGTTTTACATGTTTTATTTTCCCAGGATTCAGGATTCATGTGAATCCACCAGAAATATCCAGAAACAGGAATCGTTTCCTAATTAAGTCATTTTGGTACCCCCAAATCATCAAGTCATCAATGGCAATGACTTGGTATTGAACAACCATGGTGACTTGGGGATTGCCCATTTAAAGAACCCCCCCAGACACAAGGGACAATGATTCTGAATGTTGGAAAACAAATGTCACAAACCTATCATTTAATTGACATTTAGGGATAATATAATGATTCTTCCTCTAGAAAGAGGACTCGGAACATGTTGTTTTTGCCCTAACAATCAGCCCAAGGATGTGGACGAGTACATCCACATGACCGGAGGTCATATTTTTGCCGGTGGCGTTGTGCCAAAGGACTACCTGAGAACAGCTTGGGACTCCATCGTCCGCTACAACAAGGCAGAGAAAAAGAAGATTCAGACCATCAAATTCTACAGGTGGGGGATGGACAACAAACTGAATGGCTATTTTCGTACTTAAGATTCTTATTTTCTATGGTGATATTTCAACCCCACCAGCTTAAAGATCAGAGTATCTAAGATTGACCATGTGTTTGTTAGAACTTCTTTAGTGTAATGAATGTGTAATGATATCATTGTTTGAGTCAATGCTTTAGGCGTCCCTACAATGCGCCCAAGTTATGGAGGGTGTTCCCACATTTAGTTCGATCCGCTAGAACCCGTCGAAATCCATAGAATATCTATATTTATATATGTAGAGAGATATGTATAGTTTATAATATAGAATCTAAAACAATGCCAGTCAGCTTAGCCATCATAATTGAATATCATTGATGTAATGTGGGTAAAGCAACAATGAACCATCCCCCAAATCACCATACATAGGTGATATGAATCATTCCCAAATGGGTGGTTTATGACATTGTTTTACCCACATTACTATCGGAAGTGGGTATTATAAACCATAAATTGCTGATTGTAAACCATCGATCTTACATTGATATAAGGAACCATTACTTACCATATTCATGCCATTACTAATCTCCATGGTGTTTTGGTGAAATGAAACCGGCTGTTCCAAACGTCCCAGGTTCCGCTTTGCTCGTGGTCCGCCTGGTCAGTTGGACATTGCATCCGTGTGGCGTGAAGCGTCCTTGCAACATGGCGTCCTTGGATCCGCGGGATTGTTTTCCCAATGGGAAATCCACCAGAAATTGGGAAATCCATGGGGGATATCTGGGAATCCTAACAAAAAATGTGATTTTCAATAGTTATGCCAGTTACCAGAGTGTATATTCCAATGATTTTGTTTGGGGAGGGTTCCTTTTTTGGCAAGTCTAAGGCAAGAAGGAAGGAGTGGACACATCAGAGCACTACCGAAGTACGTGTCCTGGACCGAACTGGAAAGGAACTCTTTTTGGAACATTTCAACATGAGGAAGCCTATGGAACTGGACCTATTGATTGGGTTTTAGGATGTTTGATTTTGATCTATGGATGTTGTTTCTTAGTTTTATGGATGAGAAAGGACCTGGAACTGGGAAAATCCCAAACTGCTTCAGGCTTCAGAATGCATAGACGTTTCCATGTCAGTCCGCTTCAGCCTTGAATCACGGATTTCAGCTTGAACTGGCCAGTTTCCGGACATGAAATGGCTATGGACCTATGGATCAATACTTGTTGACAGTGTTTTTGGCCATGTCAAACAGGCAATATACAAGGGTGAGACCCATAGGCCTTTTGGCCTTTTTTAAGCCTCATTTTCAGGTTCACTTGCAGTTATGGTCATTTACCAATTGTAATTGGTTATTTCTATGGGATGAGAAACATTCTATAAATGGGGTTTTGTTAGTACTTATGACTGATAAATGGCCATAACTGTGTTTTTGTGGGTTTCCCCTGGTTTTGTTTTCCGCGCCCTTTTTTGGGGGTCCAGTTCGCAGCACCATTGCACGCCTTGCATACCTGGCACGCAGGTTTGCAACGTTCATTTGTCCTACGATCCCCACATTCATGGTGCCATGTTTTCGTCCTTCCTCGGAGTGGGTCAGAACGTGCTCGTCGCAAACCACTATCGCAACGCCAAAGGCCGGCTGGGGGTGGAGAACATGACATGCAGTTTATAGGGAAGATCTGGGGAACTCGAGAAGATGGGTTAGTCGACGGGGCATATACTTACCCTCTGGTTATGTCAAAATAGCGAACCGGAAAATGGTGTTTTATAGTGGAACTACCCATTAAGAATGGTGATTTTCCATTGTTTTTTGTATGTTTACCAGAGGGTATCAACTTACCAACTTACCAGCTATGATTTATGTTAGATCTATCCAGAGCTAGTTGGATGGGTTTTGGACCATGAAAATTCTGATTTCACCACTGGATTCGATGGTAAAAAAATAATGGCGATATCCTGCAGGATATCACAACTAGCAAATATGGGTATGCAGAGGAGATACTATGGCATTTATATATATATATTATTATATAATATATTATATAAATATAAATATCACATATATATATTATTATATAACATATTATATATATTATACGTATATATATATATATTATTATTTATACTATTATATATATATGGGGGTGTCTGAAAATGGGGATAGCTTCAATTTCTGGCCATTTCAAGAGGGAATATTCTTATTAGGCAATGGATTTGGTGGTACCCTATTTTCAGTCAAACCGAGGAGATGGGGATGGATCAAAACAGGGAGAATCGAAAATTGGTTACTAAGCCACAAACCATAGGGATATTAACAAAGCAATTGAATGAGAATGTCAAGTGTTTTCCCCACAAACAGTTGGGAAGACATCAACCATGGCAATATATCCGTCGCCAGACTTTAAGCATCGGAATGTGGGGATGAACACACGCAGCTAATTACCCAAACGTCCCTTGTTGGATTAAAATCCAATTTGAGATGATTCAGAGAAGGAACACGTAGCCATCTTAAATGTAACTTTGAACCACTCTAGTTTGAGGCTATTTGAGGCTTATCCTCTCGTAATTTAACATAGCTTTTGAAAATTGCCATTCATACTTGATTCAACTATTAAAAATGCTGGTTTCCATGCAATAAACCATCCCTTAAATCACCATTGTTAGAGATGGTGTGTTTACCATTCCCAGTCATGGGTAGTTTATGACATTGTTGTGGTTTGTTGTTTTGCCCAAAGGGTACTTGTTATATCATTAATATCCACTAGACACCATTATCAATCATCAACCATTAATTATTAACCACATATATATATACCACTATCATATATATATATAAACCATTGATCATTGACTAGTAATTGTTGTGTATCGTTGATCTCCATTATTAATCACCATTTACTATTAACCATTAATCATTAAACACACACATATATATATAGATAGATATTAATAGAATCGATAAACCATGTATATGTACCACCAAAAACCATGTACCGTACTATACTAATTATTATCAGTCATCATCAACCATATTAATAATAATCTGGTTGGTGGCTTGGAACATGTTTATTTGTTCCATTCAGTTGGGAATAATCATCCCAACTGACGAACTCATATTTTTTCAGAGGGGTAGGTCAACCACTAACCAGTTATATATTTATTAAGCATCAATTGGATACCTTCTATAAATGGTGATTAGTATACACCAGAGGCTATATGAATGGTATTACTAATATTAATGCCATGGTAATTAACCACATTAATAATTACCATATTAATCATATATTAATTACTGATCATTGATAATGGTAACCATATTAATAATTCATATATTACCAGAGGCTACATCGCTGATCTCCCGCTGGTCCCAGGCGTCCGCATCGAGTACGGGGACAACTTCACACAGCTCCCGGATGCCTTGGCCACGGTGAAAGACGAAGCGTTGGTGCCCTCTGTGCCTCGATATCCATAGGGACCAAGTTACGGAGCTATAGTATATGGTAGTATATGATAGGATATGATAGTATATGATAGTATATTACAGAGGTTTTTTTTTCCAGAATACTATACTTTACGATTATAGTATATTGAAACATATTGAATCTATTATAGTATATCCTATCATTAAAAGTTTATATTATGATAGTTTGGGAATGGAATGAATACTTCACATCGATTTTGTGGCTCCGGTGCAACTTGAGACACTTCCGCTGGTTTCTGTTCAAAAGTGGGGAACCAGACATTCCTCAGCACCTTCTTGTGTCTCCCCTGTAATGCGGTGATTGGTATGACATGTTTTCTTCTTACCAATTCGAGTCTCAATGATTTGTCATCTTTCGTTGTGTTCTCTGATTTATGTCACTATATTGATGTGATTACTCTCAGTTTATATTATACATATTATATGTATATATGAATGATATGTAGATGTATGTACTCTTTTATATGCATATGTATACGCATACATATGTATATACACATCATTGTAGCAAGACGCCTAGATGTAAATTCACAAGGGCAAATTTATTTATATATATATATATTAACTTATACATGTGTGCACATGCATAGGTACATATGTATACATAAATACATATTTATATATATAAATATAATTGGACATACACGTACATACTGTATATATATATGTATGTAATACTGTACATAGAAGTGACATATATACACATGTATGAACGCATTGTAACGCAACACAGTGTGGTGTAGTGTGTAATGAAATGCAATGCAAGGCAAGGCAATGCAACGTAATGTAATGCAATGCAGTGCGGTGTAGTTTGTAGTGAAACGCAACACGATGCAATACAATGCAATGCAATGAATGTATACAACGATGCATATTCACACACACACATACCCATGTATGTGCATATAATTACATGTTTTTTTTTACACCTATATGACTATATGCACGTTTCGAACACATAAACAGCAAACAACTATGTGTTTATCGTATACAGTATATATATATCCACACGTGTCACCTCATTTTCGCGGCACAGGTGGCGTTGGTCGAGGAAGCGATCCGACAACGTTTCAGTGAAGATCCCAGGATACTTCTGAGGCGATTGGGTGAGAAACGGCCACCTTCACAAGAAGTAGCTGCCAAGCTCTCGGCCGACCCCGGCAATGTGACACTAGCCATGCATTCCTTGAAAGGTGAAGATGACGAAGATTGGTGAGGATGACATGAGGATGAAGATTGAAGTAATATGAACTGATTGAAGTCTCACATTCGGAGGCGATTGGATGTCAGTTAGATTCGATTGAAGTCTAGGACGGTGATGAAGATGAAAGAATGTCAGGATCGCACTTGTGAAAAAAAAAGGCTGTGTTCCCGGAGGTGCAGAACGCTGGACGGTGGCGAATCAAGGGGATGGGGAATACTCATGGAGAGAGCCTAAACTCACAGGGAATGGTTTACCGGTTTTATAGTATTCTCAACCAGTTCTGCCGGTTGAATCTAAAAGCATTTTGCAGCCTCTTCTAATGAAAATATGTAATTGGCTAGACCCTTCAAGTACCCATAAAGAGTGGGATTTTACCCAAGGGTTTGGAAGGCAGCAGGCAGGTCTGCCACAAGTCTCCGATGGTGGGAGGAAAGGAAAGGTAATGTTTTCGACATCTGGTGTCATTGAAAGGTAGACATTGGACCTTACAGGCCTATGAATGATTGTGAACTAAGAGCCGCACGTGATTGATTATCTACCCATATATTGGAGGATGGTCATCAATCCAAGTTCGTAGGGATGTGTTTGTAATATAATTTAATATATATATATATACATGCATACATACCAATTAATTTGAAGTGATTCCTATTGTGGGATGGATGACTATACCACATGAATTCCAATGTGTACTCCGATGTCTAATGATTAATCCCCATATTAGGTACAATTATCATCTTGAATGCCATGATTCATGGTAATCATGTTTTGAGTATCGGATACATTGGGATATATTACTTTTCATATCGACGACTAATTGTGGGATAAATACTCGTACCTTGGATATCCCACTCATATTTTACTATCAAAACAATCATAGGCGATGAGAGATCAAATACCAGCATAGCATTATTATCCCTTTTGAATTTTCCCCAGTGCTGATGATTAAATAACATGCATATGGAAACCTTTTTTTCATGGGGATGATTTGATGATCTATAATATGGATAACGAGACATTTGCCGCATTCAATGACACTCTCATGTGAAATAGCATGAAGTTAATGGCAATCATGATTATTTCCATAATTAACATAGCACTGATATAGTAATCCCGTGTAATCCCCATAAAATGCAATGCATATCTCACGATTCGACGATTCGCTCGGCGTCAGCCGCAGGCCGAAGCAGATCCAGAAGGCGGCGGTCTCTTTCTGTCCCGGAGCCAAGACGTGGAACGACGCGGCAGGGGATGGCCCCAACTAAGGTGGTGCCCTCCATTGACTATATATATATTACTTACTGCTTTGGCCTCTTTCTGTGTTAGGGGCCATAGCTGCCCAGGATCTATTTGTAGAATCCTAGGAACTATTTACAGAATCCCAGAAACTATTTATAGAATCCCAGAAGCTATTTTCTGCATTATACTGATACTGGCGTTTTTTGTTTCCAAACTCCTGGGCCTATGTTTAAAAAAGAAAAACATAGTGAGGCCAAAGCAGTCACCAAACCATCTGTCTACAATAATAGTACGCTTATGGGTTTTGGGCCAGTGTTTTAAGCTACCCCGACTTTTGGTGGTTTATTATTGAATATATGATTCCAATACTCTAAGTTTAAGACCACCAGAAACAATGGTTAGTTCATTTTAGTTTTGCACATATTTTGAAGATATAGTTGAAAATGTAGCTATGGCTAATGACCAAGTAACTTCTGGAAGTTCAGAAGTAGAACACACATACTTGATAACTATATGGATCAGGATGGTTTGGAACGGTTCCCATCTATCTCTAGAATCCTGTATGTAGTTATACATCCAAGTTGGTAAATATATCAGAACGTCTTGGAACGGTTGTGATTTATTTATCCATCCAAGTTTATAAATAGATCAGAACGGTTTGGAACGGTTCCGATCTATCTATAAATTCTTTATGTAGACAGTCTTGCAGATAGATCAGAACGGTTGGGAACGGTTCCGATCTATTTATACATCCGTTTTTATAAATAGATCGGAAAGGTTCGGAACGGTTCCGAACTATTTATAACCGCTTCTGTTTATAAATAGATCAGAACGGTTCGGAACGGTTCCGAACTATTTATACATTCGTTTTTATAAATAGATCAGAACGGTTCGGAACGGTTCCGAACTATTTATACATTCGTTTTTATAAATAGATCAGAACGGTTCGGAACGGTTCCGAACTATTTTTACATCCGTTTTTATAAATAGATCAGAACGGTTCGGAACGGTTCCGAACTATTTATAAACTCGGAACTATTTGGAACTATATGGAACTAATTGGATCTATTTTGCTTTTTTCGTATAAATAGATCAGAACGGTTCGGAACGGTTCCGAACTATTCATAAGATGCGACGTATAAATAGATCAGAACGGTTCGGAACGGTTCCGAACTATTTATAAACCCTGTACGTATAAATAGATCAGAACGGTTCGGAACGGTTCCGAACTATTTATAAACCCTGTACGTATAAATAGATCAGAACGGTTCGGAACGGTTCCGAACTATTTATAAACCCTGTACGTAGAAATAGATCAGAACGGTTCGGAACGGTTCCGGTCTATTTATAAAACCCGTAAACTACACAGAGATATAATAGATCAGAACGGTTCGGAACGGTTCCGATCTATTTATTAACCCTGTAAAGTACAAAAAGAATAAACAGCTCAGAACGGTTTGGAACGGTGTCGATCTATTGTTAATCTTTGCTGCCTTCCCACCTGTTTCTAAATCCAAAATCAGAAATCAAAACCAAGAACTAACCCAGCTTAGCCCAGAAAAAACGAGATCCAGGATATGATATGCGGACCTATTACTCATTCACAATTTTTGCTGAACCTGCGTGTGAACTGAACACAAATCAAAAAAATGATCTTCAAACCCAATCGGCCTTCTGTCAGGTTTGTCTGTTGGTCAGTGGTCAGTCTACCTTTTTTTGGGCATTTTTTAGTAGATTATGCAATCAATATCTGCTGAGAAACGACCAAAGAATGTCCAAAATCCCTCAGTCTGCAAAAGGTTCATGATTTCCAGTTCGGTGTCCGAAAGTTGGGTTTTCTAGTCAAACGGTCGACCCGAACTTGTCCCGGCAGTACTTGACAAAGTGCTTGCTCTAGCAGCGACGGTGGAATGCTTGCAGATATCCTTTCTTGGGCTGAGGTCCGCTAAGATGATCTACAAATAGTTCCTGAGATTTTATAAATAGCTCCTGGAATTTTATAAATAGCTCCTGGAATTTTATAAATAGTTCCTGGAATTTTGTAAATAGTTCCTGGAATTTTGCCATTCATAGCGAATAGAAACTCCAAAAAACCTGTCGCCGAAAGGGCGACGACACCCTTCCCGGCAATCCGAAACCTCAAAGTCCGGAAAACCTGTCACCGAGAAAGTTCCGGCGGCCATGGTCCGACGAGGTACCAGATACCGAAGTCTTAGGTTGCAAAAACGAAATTTTCGATTTCAGGGGCTGCCTCGAACTTACAGCATCTTACAGCCAGAATCGGGTGATGGTTGTGGCCTCTCTATACCTGGAATCTCACAAGCTACAAGATATGGTGTCCTTGTCAGGAAAGGCCTGCGAAAAAAAAAAACTCGTCCAACAGACAATCGCATCCAGGTGATGATGCGTAGTCACAGTCAGGTCCTTGCAAACTATCAGCAGGTATGCCGCGCTTTGGTTTTGAGACCTTGTATGCTCCACCGCAGTTAGATCATTGCGTGTCTTGGGAAGGTCGCCAGTTTGTCGCTCATTTTGCTAACCAGAGAAACAGTGGAGTCTTGACCCTTCTGATTTCTGCTTTTCCTTTTTACAATACGACATGGTCACTCACGCTGACCCTGATGCTACTGTTCACATGTTGGACTCACCCGAAAATGTTCATTCAATGTTGGCTCATTTTTTGCGATGTGTGAACCCTTGGCATCTCAACTATGGAACCTCTGATCATGTGAACTATATTGAGTATTGACATTTACTGAGTTCAACATAGTTCAACTTCGCGCCGCGGAGTTGCATTTAAACAGAAGCAAACAGTCAGTAAACTGTCAAAAGTCTCACGGACATGACGAATGACGCAATTTGTGATACGAGAGTGGCTGGAGGACATATTAGGTTCCTTTGCCAGCACCACCACAGCCTTCAATCAAGTTCGCCATTTGCATGGCCGCCCTTTTGGTACGCTACTGCCTAGGATTGTGAGATAGGATACGATAGGGTATCATAATCTTTGGAATTTGAATTGACTTGATTCATGACAAGGCTCATGACATAAAACTGAAAACAAATTATATACAATACATTCAGTTGCAGTCGAATTACCGTAAAACTAGCTACATTCCCCAGGACACGGAACGCTGTTTGTTTTGGGTCTCAGATTGGGGTTTGCTTGGCTTTTTGGCACGGGTGGTGGTTTTTTGCGCTTGGGCCTACACTTTGGGGCGTGCTTTCCTTTCTGGAACTGCTGGTGGTGGTGGTGGTGCTGGTGGTGCTGGTGCTGGTGAAGTTTGTCCAACGCGTTAGCTTGGGCTGGGTGCGCTGTGGCTTTTGCTCCTGCGAACTTTGATTCACCGCGTTTTCTTCTGGGCGGCCCGGGGGTGAATTGCTTTTTCTTTTTTGGCCTGATTGGTTTCCATGGCTCAGTAAGGCTGGAAATGATTTTATTGCATTTTGCATCTTTTCCGCTGAATGATACACCAAAACCGGCTGGTACTGTTTTTTCTTCGTTGGCTCATTGAACCATATTTTTTCGGTTCTGGTATATTTGACATGGCTCTTGATATGATTGGCCGATTGATTTATCAAAACAAAGAGGTATTTTTATGCCCGAGGCGCTTGTTTCCACACGAGATTCCCAAGTTTAGCAAGGCAACATGTTGGCATGTTATGGATGCACATATCCCATACCATAACTCATGAGTACTGTCATTTCCATATACCCACAATAGGGACGCACTGGTAAGCTGAAATCAGTTAGACTCAGCACTTAAGGGCAT